CTCTGTCAGCTCTGGCTCTCTGTCAGCTCTGGCTTTCTGTCAGCTCTGGCGCTCTGTCAGCTCTGGCTTTCTGTCAGCTCTGGCGCTCTGTCAGCTCTGGCGCTCTGTCAGCTCTGGCTTTCTGTCAGCTCTGGCGCTCTGTCAGCTCTGTTGTTAGACTCTGCTCCGCAAATTTATTCCGAACATCATCAATAAAGAAACAATAATTAAATATAATTATTATAAATAATTAAATATAATTATATAATTTTTTTCCATTCATAGTAAAATCAAGGAATGAGATTTTGATTCATACTTATAATCAAAATAAAGCCTGCCTCAACTGACACCCCCCCCTTCCCTCAGGACCTCCTCGCTGACCTCTTCGACGCCTCCCTCGTCAGCGCTGACGATGACCTACTTAGAGCTGGGGGTGGGTCATGCTGGTTACATGATGATTGCTTGATGATTAGATGGTGATTGCTTGATGATTAGATGGTGATTGTTTGATGATTAGATGGTGATTGCTTGATGGTTATATGGTGTTTAATGGTTACAAGGTGATTGCTTGATGGTTACATGATGATTGTTTAATGTTTACATGACGATTGCTTGATGGTTACATGATGATTGCTTAATGGTTACATGGTGATTGCTCAAGCTACACGTGTCACGGGTGTCAGCTACACGTGTCACGGTTGTCAGCTACACGTGTCACGGGTGTCAGCTACACGTGTCACGGGTGTCAGCTACACGTGTCACGGGTGTCAGCTACACCTGTCTCTTATACACATCTAGATGTGTATAAGAGACAGATCCTAACACTGTAGTATATATNACATGGTGATTGCTTAATGGTCACATGGTGATTGCTTAATGGTCACATGGTGATTGCTTAATGGTCACATGGTGATTGCTTAATGGTCACATGGTGATTGCTTAATGGTCACATGGTGATTGCTTAATGATTACATGATGATTGCTCAAGCTACACGTGTCACGGGTGTCAGCTACACATGTCACGGGTGTCAGCTACACATGTCACGGGTGTCAGCTACACGTGTCACGGGTGTTACAGGTGTGGGGGATGTCGCGGGTCCGCCACCCCCCGGGATGGGGTCATGTGTGACAGGGTCGGGGCCCGACGGGCGCTACCAGGGGTTCGGGACCGGGGTCCCCAGCGCCCCCTCTCTCGTCAACAAGGTCAGCTGCAGCGATAATTTATTTATTCATTTATTTTTTTATTCATTTATTATTATTTCTTTAATAAATCACAGGGCTTATAACGAAAATAATGATATGGAATCAGAAATATTAAATTCATTTCATTTATTTATTATGTTTTTTGATTAAATCACTGGTCTTATAACGAACGAAATGGTAAGGTACCGGTATTAGAAATATTAAATTCATTTCATTTATTTATAATTTTTTTACTAAATCATTGGGTTTATAATGAATAAAATTGTAAGGAATTAAAAATATTAAATTCATTTTATTTATTTATGATGTTTTGTGACTAAATGACATGGGGCTTTTGTATACTTTATAGACGTGATATTCTGTACTATATAGACTCTGTATACTGTGTAGACGTGATATACTGTATTGTATAAACACTGTATAGGCGTGATATACTGTACTGTACAGACACCTTATACTGTATAAACGTGATATACTGTACTGTATAGACGCCGTATACTGTATAGACACCGTATACTGTATAAACGTGATATACTGTACTATATAGACACTGTATACTGTACTGTATATACGTGATATATTGTACTGTAGAGACACTGTATACTGTATAGACGTGATATACTGTACTGTATAGACACTATATACTGTATAGACGTGATATGCAGTATACTGTACTGTGTATACGTGATATACTGTACTGTAGAGACACTGTATACTATATAGACGTGATATACAGTATACTGTACTGTTTACACGTGATATACTGTACAGTATAGACGGTATACACTGTACTGTACACAGTATAAAGGTCGTACAGAAGGCACAGGTGTGCACAGGTCCGGGGCCTAGTGGACCGCATGCTGTGGCCCGAGGTGCAGCCCCTCTCCCCCGCGGCCCGGTCCATCCTCAGCCCGGACCCCGGGAGGTACGCGCCCTACGAGATACCCTGCACGTACCTCGCCGAGCTCGCCCCCTGCCTGGGTACCACCATGCCAGGTACCTGCAC